CTTTTGTGTCACTTACATCCATGTCAGGAGAAGCATCTTCCTGGAAGCTAAATTTCTTGGGGTTAGAGTACTGAGCATGGCTGGTACAGAAAGCGGCAAGAGGAAGGGGGTCCATCATGAATCCCACAAGCATCACTTTTATTTCCCCTTTCACTGCTGTGTATTTGGGGCATGAAAAGCTCCCTGGCTATTGTACACAGGTGCCTAACCTGTGACCCTCCAGCTGTTGCCAGAATGCTGGACTCCTAACAGCTCAGGCCAGTACAGCTAATGACCAGATGAGATGGGAGTTGTAGTCCAAAACAGCAGAGTTGGGCACCAACTTGAGGAAAGTTGATCAACACCCTCTAGGGCAGGCATAGGCAAACTCGGCCCTCCAGATGTTTTGGGACTACAACTCCCATCATCCCTGACCACTGGTCCTGTTAGCTAAGGATGATGGCAGTTGTAGTCCCAAAACATCTGGAGGGCCAAGTTTGCCTATGCCTGCTCCTGGGTGTCTCACATCCCTCTGTGGATATCTTGCATACTGTGGCAAGTTCACAGTTGTCTTTATATTTTATATGTGGAGAACCAACTTTGATTTGCCACAGCTGATGCCCTTTCTGGCCGCTGGCACAAAATGTGTGTACTGTAGTTGCTCACCAACATCTTTAACTACAACCCAGCAGCTGTGGTATTTTAGATGTGGCACAAAGCCAGATAGACACACTTTCCCCATTAAAGCAGCAAGATATTCTTTCAGTATTATAAATATAAGAAAGGTAAAAAAAAAACTTGACTCGCTGACTAAAGTCTTACTTAGGTTTGCTGTAATAAGGTTATTGTATCTTTAAGTGACAGTGACAAAGGCTTACAAAAGGCTAAAGTCAAGTTCCTAACCCTATTTAACTCCTATGCCAATTAACCTTTAGTCCCTCTTCCCCGGACAAATCTCACCACCAGGTACTGAAGTTTTCAACTGGTTTAGAGTTTAGAGTTACAGACAGTTTTTGCTCTGGTTAGCTCCATAAGCTGCTTGCTGAATTCTCCTCGCTGCTCAATACCTTTATTTGGCCTCACTGCTAATCCTTGGCTTAAGCCTGTGGTTCAGGTGTTTTGGAGCAAACTACACAGACTACCCTTCAGCCAATCAGATTTGAGTGGAATAGGAGTCTCCCCCTCTGCAGACCACTTTCCCCACTCAATGTATGACCAAGAATTTCTACCTAGTCAGCCAATCAGAAGTGTAATTTTACAATCCTCTCTCATTATCTAAAAGAACCCAGTTCCCCACTATTAGAGGGTATTAGTATTACACATTTAACCCTTTACATTACTCCACATACATTGCCTCTAAACAAAATCCTGTTCCATTAAACACCTTTTCTTAATGCATGCACACAGGTGATCTCTTTACACGTGTGCATAGTTTTTGCATGCACAACACCTGCATTTCCAATGAGCTTAAAACAAGTTGTGCCATCTTAACCATCTGCTCTTTTTTATAGAAGTTGTTTTCTAAATGAATATAGGTCTCCAAGGCTTTAGCAGGTCACAGGGGGACGGGGGCGGTAAGTATGCTAAATTATACTCTTTGGGGTGTTTAGATGCAGAGATATCCATGGCACACAAACTGGCCAGAATTGCAGTCTTTAATTGGCTTTATACAGAGCCTGACATCACTAACTGCTGTACATCATCAGCTAGAAAGTGTACAGATTTTCAGTAGAAGTAATGGCCTATGTGCACACATTTCCTAATTGGGTAGATGGAGTAATGTTGGTATGTCATTAGGGTGACAGAGAAATTCCCTCTCCTAGACAACTAGGGATGAGCAGGAACAATGTCCTCCTGTGAGACTTTGTAAAGAGTGGAAATCAACGTGCAAAACCCTAGTACCACTCAACCACTTTGGTCTGCAGAATGGGCACTGTGTACCTATTTTGCATCTCTAAGAAATCAGTCTTTTAGTGTGCAACACTTTAGAACTCTTTGCCTAGTACCCATCTTCACTGTACAGTGGTACCTCGGGTTACGTATGCTTTAGGTTACATATGCTTCAGGTTACAGATTCCGCTAACCCAGAAATAGTACCTCGGGTTAAGAACTTTGCTTCAGGATGAGAACAGAAATTGCGTGGCAGCAGCAGGAGGCTCCATTAGCTAAAGTGGTGCTTCAGGTTAAGATCAGTTTCAGGTTAAGAACGGACCTCCGGAACGAATTAAGTACGTAACCAGAGGTACCACTGTACCCCTGCCAAGAATTGTTTTTGTTTGTTCAAGCCTACCCAGACATGTAGAATGCTGAGCTGTTTTGATCTGCTTTTAGCTCATTGTTGATTTTAATTATTATTTTTTGAACATTTAAAATAGTTTTTAGCTGCTTTTATCAACAATATTGTTGTTTTATTCTTTCTCTACATGGCTTTGAGGCTTTGCTTTGTTTTTTTGTTTTGTTTTTTACAATCAAGTCGCATATAAATTTTATAAATAAATAAAAGAATACCTGGTCTTTCTAAGCCAGGGCTAAGCAACCTGCGGCCCTCCAGATATTGCTGCACAATAACTCCCATCACCCCTGACTTTTGGCCATGCTGGATGTAGCAGATGAAAGTTGGAGTCCAGCAACATCTGTGGGGCCACATGTCCCTCCCCCCCACTCAAGGTGTTTCCCCATCTTCATCCAGGGCCGGCCTACTCATGAGGTGACCACCTCAGGTGGCAGGATCCACAGGGGCAGCAGATCCCCAAGTAGATCTTTTTCCCCATCCTTGTATATTTTCATCCATTCTTTCCTGCTGGTGAGGAGAGGTGTCCTTTTGTGATTCTCCTCGGGTACCAAATTGTCTTGGGCTGGCCCTGCCTGCATCCCATTCCATCCTTCAGCAGCATCCTTAGAAGAACTTTCTTTCTGACCAGCAGGGGGCAGCCGCAGGCTGCTCATCTCCCCCATATTTCCTGGAGGGGTGACCGAATGCTGGATGAAGTCGAAAGGGGCAGCTGGAGGTTCAGATGCCTCTCTTGCTGGTTGCCCTCCCAAGGTGCTGCTATGTCCACAATGGGGGTGGGGTGGGGGGGGTCACGAGGTGGCATCTCATCTCCTTCACAATGAATGACAGAAGAAATAGCTCGTTTCACAACTGACCTCTTCAAATTTCAATTCCTTCCCTCTTCCTGTCGCTTTCCTTGACAGAGCTTTACTTCCCACCCCCAACCATAGCACTTTTAAGAGCAGCACAACAGGCAGAAATTCGGCAGGACATTTTCTGCACCACTCCATCAGGCTGTATGAAAGCTACACTGGCTGCACTTTTGCTCCGCGTTCCATGTTCCCCGGTAAAGACACAGAAGTCCTTTAAAAAGCGTAGCAGCCCTATAGGAACGCAGGCACCTGCGTTAGGTGCTCTCACTATGTCGTTTCCCACTTCCCTCCCTCTGCTGCATCCCCGTAACATTTCTGGGAAGAGGCCTTCGGATTAATCCCTCTCTTTTACCGTGTAGCGTTTCAAAGCAGAGACACCAACACTCTCGAATCTCAGCACCCCCGCTTTGCTCCTCTTCTGCCCATTACTGCTTCCACACTGCCCCACTTTCCTCCCATCACGATTGCCACATTTCCTCGCCGCTCCGGCTCCTCTCCTTATCACAACAGCCAGAAGCTTAGCAGGAGGATGCTCCTCTCTCCTTTTGTCTCCCTCGTTCTCTCTGTGTGAGGCTGCAGGACAAATCCCAGAAGCCAGGGACACTGAACAAAGGAGTGGGCTTCATCCTGCACTGAGTCCCTACGCCTCCCCCCAAAATATTCCCCATCTTCTGCTAGCAACCTTATTGGCAGCTGTCTTGTTTCACCCCAGTAATAGTCCCATGACATGTCTAATAAAACACACACACATTATTTCGATTCCACAAATCTCTTTATCTACCCCAGCCCATCGCCCCAATATTCAGAGTTTGCCCCCTATCTCTCACTGCGAGCATCCTCTTGTTCCCCATATATCTCACCCCAATTGGTAGCTCTCTGCAGAAAGATCCTCTTATCTCTCTGCATTACACCCCAATAATATTACTGGGCCCTGTGCTCCAGAAGTTATTATGGTTAAGGTTGTGCTGATCATTCTAAAGATGTTTGCAGCAGTGGTGGCTGGTGTCCATTGAGGCTGCTGGGGCGGAAGGCAGAGCGCCCAACAGTAGGTGGAACCAAATCTAGTGACAGGCAAGAGACAGAGCCAATGGCAGGCAGAGGCAACTAGCTCTTGCTTTGCAGCCACTCGCCTCCTTGCTGAGCTGTGCAAGGGGCAACACCGCAGCTGTGTGCAAACTCTGCTTTCCTCTGCGCCCAGTGCGCTCCCACCGCTGGTTCGGGATCCGGTGTGTGCATATGATGGTTGCCACAATCCCTATGTATCCTGTCTCTGTCCTAGCGGTTTTTAAAAAAGATAAGCTACTGCATTTCGATGGGCTTTCCCCCTGCCTGTGTCACCCTCCATCCAAGTTGAGAAAAACACACAACCTCGCTGAGTTTTAAGCCGGTGACATGCACACAACCAGGGAGTAAGGAGGAGGAGGAACTGGCAACCCGGGCCACCCTCAGGACTGGCTGGAAGTGAAAAGGCTGGCAGGTGGGAGCCGGCTAACAGCAGACTGGGGCGGGGCGGGGCGGGGCCCCATATGCCCTACCAGGCAAGCCTCCGCTGGTTTGCCCTGCTTCCATCCTGTTATTATTCGCCCCCCTTTTACTGATCTCACTTTGACATCATTACGCGTTTCGTCTGGCAACCGAACACATGATGTAATAATTCGAACGTGCTGTTTTGCTTTGGGTGCCTAATTTTATTTTAGAAATCTGGCACCATATTTCGAACCACACACACATAAACACTTGCACCCTAACCCCTCTCTCTCTCCCCGCCACGTTCGAACACACCGCACCCGGGATTTTTCTGGCACCTTGCGCTTCCTCCGCTCGCCACCCGGGGGCGCCCTTGGGCTCGTTCTCTCCCGGTGTTCCTTGGACGCGGTTTCGCCGCCGCCGCCGGATCGCAGCGCATCGCTTCTGCGAGCCCCAGCAGCTGCAACAAGCCGCTTCATCTCCCCGGCTGCAGCGAGTGTGTGTGTCGGGGGAAGCAAAACCTGAGCCGGCCAGCCTGCAGATCCCAGCCCGGGAGAGCCACTCAGGTAGGAGAAGCCTGCACTGCTGCTCCTGCTGCTAGAAGCGCCCCGCCTCCGGTTCAGCTGCAGCCCGGCGCCCGCCGAGCTCGGCTTCCCCCCTGGCCAGAGAGAGAGCCGCGGCAATCGCTTCTCTCTGGACCCGCCGCAAGCGAAGCCAACCGGGCAGAGCCTGCTGCGCTTCCATCTTGCACCTGCAGGGGTAACAAGAGGGTGGTTGGGGGGGGTGGCTTGGCTCCTTTCGCTCCCCGAGCCCTCTTACCCTCGGACTCCTGGGTCCTATCTATTCAAGAGAGAGACTCCCCCCTCCCCGATCCGGGATGCTTCCCCCCTTTAAGGAAGGATGCCACAGGACCCCTTTTCCCTCTGAGAGGTCTAAACCGTGCCGTCCTTTCTTAGGGGAAGCCTGGAAGGCGCCGACGAGCTCTCATCTTCCAGGACTCCTAGGGACCCGGGCTTTGGGGGGGGGTAGCCCCATCTTTTTCGGGGCGCCCTCTGCAATCCAGGACTCTACCGCCGCTCTCCTCCTCCCCGCCCCATGCGCCCAGATAAGGATGGCAGTTGGTCCTCAGTTTCCTAAACTTAGTTCCTCCCGACCCATCTCGGGGTGCCCTTCACTGTCTTGGGCTCCCGTGCACCCCAGGAATAAGGGGCCGTGCTCTCCTTCTATGCCTCTGGTCGGTTTCAGTGGGCGACTCCAATTCCTTCCCTCTCCCCCTTTTCATTGGTCCTTGCCCTTCCTCTTTGGCCAGAATGCCCACTTTGCTATATTGGGTCCCAGTCTCCTTTTTGGGGGGGCGAAGAAGATTTCCCCCCATTCCTCTCTCCCCCCGTATTGTGACACCCCTTTTCTGATTCCCATCAAACTCTGCCTCCATGCTTCTGGGGGCTCACGTCCCCTGAAGAGCTTCCGTGCTGCTGGTGATTAAATCTCCTCATCGGCAGGGAGCGAGGAACTCAACATCACACTTGTGTGTGTATCCACAAAATGGTTGTGTAGCGTGGTGGCTGGCGGAGGCGGCGGCGGGGAGGGGGGGGGGAGAGAACTCCAGAGACCGTATGCGTGGAGGTTGCTGTGATCTTCTGTTTTGAAAGGCTGGGGAGGCGAAGAGGCAGCTGAGGAACGCCAAGGGTGGGTCTCTGGAGTGTATAAAATGACTAAGATCGTTCTTTGTGTGCGTGAGAGAGAAAGTGAGATAATACACCTGTTTGTAAGGGGAAATGAAATAGGCACCGTGGCTTGTTGTTACTTCTTCCTAGAGGGGGAGAAAGTGCTGAAAGGGGAAAGTAGTTGCCGTGGCATGGAAAGTAAAATGTGGAAATGTGGGGAGAGAGGAAGGAAGGAAGGAAGGAAGGAAGGAAGGAAGGAAGGAAGGAAGGAAGGAAGGAAGGAAGGAAGGAAGGAGGTGTTGAGACGATGGATGCTTTGCAGTGGGTATCAATGCTTGGGAGGGGTAGGTGTTTTTTGGGAGCGATGGCTGGTGCAAGAGGGTGGAAGGGGGGCAGTGGGGAGGTGTTGGGGGGGACACGAGTGATGGATACCTTGAAGGAACAGGATGGAGCACAGTGGTGGCAGGTGGGTGGAGAAGGAGATGACAGCCTGGGAGATGGATGGGCAGCTTAAGGGAGGAGGGATGGATGGATTGCTTAGATAAGTTATGTTCAATTTCTCAAAACATGCCTTAAATGACTTCTAAGCATTTTGTTCTTGGGGGCGGAGGTGGGGGAGTTGATGAGATCTCCCAGGTCCCTGAGAGCTGTTTCCTGCTCTTGCGGTGCTTTCAAGAGCAGGCCTGGGGGGGGGGGGAATGTCACCTTGTCCTCATTCAGGCTTCGGAGGAGAGGCTGGCTGAATGGGAGACGGGGGCATCTTTTCTCACCGAACCATAGTGTTGTCTGCGCAGATGCATAACCCATTCATCATTTGAATCATGTTGCATTTTTCTGTTTACCATTTGCAAATGCCGCCGTTGTCACTGCATCTGTTAGTTCCTCAAGATACTACGCTTGGGTCTTCTGTCTTGACTGGAAAGGAACCGGGTCCTTGTTTGCCAGGGTCAAAACTCGAGGGAAGAGACTAGTGGCTCCCTGGGTAGCTCAAATAGTGAGGCTATTACTTCAAAGTATGCATTTCTTTTCACAAAGTTGTCTTGCAATATGTAACTAGGATGGGCAGAAAGGCAACATTCAGTCTGGATGGGACGGTTGTGGTGGCAAGGTACAATCAAAACTCAGAAGAGTGTATGGGCAGTTGTTTTAGTACTCTCAGATGGGGCAACGTGTCCTTTTCATTCAGAAAAAATTAGGCATGAGTATGAAACCCAAGTTATTGCATTGCTGGGAGGCTTAGTAAGGGCAGCAGGCTAGATGGATGAGTTACACAGCTTCTTATTGGCTTGCAGCCTAACACAGTAAAGCACATCAGATGCCGAACATTGTTGGGGAGGAAGGAGAACAAAATCTGAATCACAAGGCTCTCCTTTTGTTACTAGCTGCTGCTCAAAGGAGTAAGTGCTCCCCAAACTAATAATTTTGAAGCATCTCTCCCCCACCCGAAGCCCTGCCTGACTTGTGCATAGAGATGACTAGTGATGCTAGACACTTGCAAATCACTTGGGAACATGAGTTTGCATAGACTAGGAAATAGAATTAAGCTGGGAGTCAACTGGGTGTAAATAGTTTTTTTTAATCAATGAATGCCCTGTTCTGTGTATATGCGATATGTTATCAGAGCCTGTTGGTACAATCAGAACAGAAACATCCCTGGTGACTTTCCAGGGCTGAGCTGATGATGGTAGAACTAATGCCTGAAAGTGGGGTCCAGTTTCACTGGGATAATCCCAAATAATGTTACCTATCTATATATTAGGGATGCGGGTGGCTCTGTGGGTTAAACCACTGAGCCTAGGACTTGCCGATCAGAAGGTTGGCGGTTTGAATCCCCGCAATGGGGTGAGCTCCAGTTGCTCGGTCCCTGTTCCTGCCAACCTAGCAGTTCAAAAGCACCTCAAAGTGCAAGTAGATAAATAGGTACCAATCCGGCGGGAAGGCAAACGGCGTTTCCATGCGCTGCTCTGGTTCGCCAGAAGTGGCTTAGTCATGGTGGCCACATGACCCGGAAGCTGTACACCGGCTCCCTCGGCCAATAAAGTGAGATGAGCGTCGCAACCCCAGAGTCGGTCACGACTGGACCTAATGGTCAGGGGTCCCTTTACCTTTATCTATATATTGTTTTTTCTCCAAAGAGCTCAAGGTATGGTTCTCTTCTCCCTTCCCATTTTAGCCTCACAACAACCCTGTGAGGTAGGCTAGGCTGGGGAAGAATAACTGGCCCAGTGTTGCCTAGTGACGAGCACCTGTGGGAGGGATGCAAGAGAGAGAGAAAAAAACCTTTTAATTGTTTTTGTTTCAGAAGGGGCTTGAAGTGCCCAGTGGGTTCTGAGAAGACTTCTATCCCTCTTTGGGGGTTGATCCAGCGTTGGACCGTAGGGGTCTCAAATTTCTGTGGCCCCAATCCACCTCTCATGCTCCATTCTAAATCATAGTTGTGGCATCCCAGGCAGCGCTCCTGAGACTCCACACCCAGTGCAACTGAATTGGTCCTAATCCCCTAAATCTGCACCTGTCTGATTTCAGCACTAGTTTTTTTGCTCAGGGGCTCCAGTCTCTTACCTGGAATTTTTGAGCATCCCTTACCACATTGACTGGGCACTGCATGGTCAATCTTTGCCTGATCCACCTCTGGTATGCCTTGCCCATCAACCTGTCCCTGCCCATGGCCAACCACATGCTCCTGGGAATAGCTCCACATTCAGGCCAGGAAGGGGAGGGCCATTCCATCCCCTGCTTTGTATGCACAACATCTGGAACTAGCTCACAGGTAGACAGCTCCTGAATGCAGAGGCTCCATTAGCCATTGTGAACAGTAAAGTTTTAGTCCCCCATGAACAATTTGTATAGAGCAGGGGTGTCAAACTCAAATTCATCGGGGGCCGCATCAGCAGTTTGGTCACCCTCAAAGGGTCGGTTGTATCTGTAGGACTATGTGTCCACTCTTTATTATCATAAATTATTGTGGAGGTTTCCTGTGTAGAACGGCCGGCGCCGCTAGAGGGCAGGTGTTCTCTGGCTTGTAGGCTGCCGCGCATGCGCTGAAGAGGTGGCTTTCTTGTGTCAAAAAAAAAAAAAAGCGAGAATAAAAGGTGAAGGCTGGCGGCCGGCGGCGGCTACACGGGCCACATGACGAGGTCTGGCGGGCCGGATTCGGCCCGCGGGCCTTGTGTTTGACACCCGTGGTATAGAGAGTTTCAGATGTTCAAAGCGCTTTCATGCCACAATGGTCCTGTTTGGCGTCCCTAAGGCCAAGTAGAGAGCTGAGATTTGAATCCAGAGCCTCTGTGTGAACAGAAACCCGTTGGTTCTTTGCTGCAAATACTTTGCACTTCCTCCTCATCCATTGGCTTTATTGTTTTCCCAAACCGGGCAGCAGGATTTGTCCTTCAAGGTTGCGACCCTTGGGAAAGTTAATCTCATATGCACACGTTACGCAGCTGAGCCTTTGTTTGATTCCCACTCTTTTCTCCAGTTCCTGCGGAGAAGGTAGTTCAGTTGCCAGGCAGAGACCTGGAGCTGCCTCCCAGCTGTTGGCAGGAGATGGCAGGCGTTTGCCCGCCGTCTCTCTCAGCCGTGAAATGATGGTCAGAGACCAGCATTTGAATGCAACTTTCTGGGGTGAAGCCCTGGCGAGTGGCGCCTGGGATCAAAAGATGCTCAGAAGAGGTGTTCTGTTTTGCCATGTGCATGGTAGTAAAAATAGATTGTGTAGAGGAGAAATGGGTGGGGTGGAGAACCACAGGAGGCTGTCTAAGACAAAGGCAGACCGTTGGTCCATCTAACTCTGTAGGGTCAACACTGTCTGGCAGCAGTCTCTCTCAGCCCTCCCTCAAGATGCCGGGGATTGAATTGGAGACCTTTTGCATGCAAAGCTGATGCTTTTCTTATAAGCTACA